GGTGTTTTCAATAAGGTGGGTGATCGGGCCAGAGGAGAAGCGAATGATTAGAGAGCCAGATTTAGGGGTTTTTGGATGTTGGCACAAAAGGTAGGATCCCAGAACATCATCTGCAAGCAGTGAATAGCTGCTCTCACTGCAATACCAAGAAGGAAAATCACAGATGTAGTAACAGGAAAGTGACACTTATGAATGTAAAGATGTATTTGATGTGCGATATACTAACGTTGCGATACCAGCCCAACACCACACTGCCTGAGCTAGTGCCTCTTCTGTTTCAGACAAGCTTGGAGCTCGGGATTGCCTCGCTGGCAACTTGTCGAGATCCTTTTCTGGTTTTGATATAATAAGAGAAATAATGTAAAGTTAGATTTTATATAAAGGTGGAATATTGCATCACCATGTGACGGGGAAGAAGCATCCCAGATGATCTCAACTCAGTGGACGCTATGCAGTGATGATGATAAAAGAACCCCTCAAAAACAAAGAAACACATTCAACTTTAAAAAGGAACATTAGTAACAGAAATAAAATGTAAGCGCTGTAGAAATGCACAATTACCCATATGAGATGAAATCACTTCATCATGCGGACTAAAATTTAAACAAACAAACTAACAAAAAAAAAACAAACCCTGACACCACAGCAGTGACTGCCCTTCACCAAATACTGATGAAGTCGCTTTACCTAATCAATTCTTTGAACCTCGATAGCGCTCTGTGAACACTCGGCCCACCTTGAGTTACACTCAGTTGATCCTGAATGCTGCGCTGTTTGCGTGGCGTGAAAGTGAAGGAGCGGTAAGCACCAGAGCGCAGCACTTTGGTGCGTATGACTTTCTTGCGCATCAGGGAGGGAGAGGAGATGGGAAAGACCTCCTCTTGGCTGCTTTGTTGGTCATCTGAAGACTTTGGAGTTTTCTGTAGAGAAAACATCACATAGTTTGTACAGATAATTTACATTTTCAGGCATACATTTTAAAACTGCAGTGCTGTGCAAAAACTTGGGTGCGGTAATTTTCGAAGACATGGGAAAAAATACATTGAAATACAATATATAAAAAGGCAAAAACATTACAACATTTGATAACAAACTAATATTTAAATTAGTCCATGAGATTTTGGGTGAAGTTAACTAAGCCAAACCTTAGTGCCAGGTAATAATCCACCAAAAGGAGCTCTTCTGAATGAAACCAGGGCGCTGACACTAAGAGGAAAGCCGTGATTGAGCAATGAAGGCTTGCGATGAGGCAGTGAGCCAGCAGAGTCTATCTGGGCCTCTTCTGGATGCTTCTCCAAGTACGACAGCTGGAAGCAGCGGCACAGCAGCAGGTTCAGGAACTGGGCCTAAAGGAGGAAGGGTGCATACAGAAAACCTAGCAGTTAAACTGAAACAGTGTTATTCTGTGTCATACTGCAGTAATTCATCAGGTAAATTATTAACAGTACAACGGCACTGATAAAAGCTTAGCGCTTCAACACCACAGCTGACGACGTTTAGTCAAGCACAGGCATCTCGCAGAGATGAGGCAACTGCAGTGTCATAGTATTGCCGACCTCTCCACGTTGGAACAAGTCTCGCTGCTAACTACAATGCAGTGAGACTGGCTCAAAACAATTGAATGCTACCAGTTCCACCAGTAGAGGCACCTATTATTGTGTCACACAGGAAACATGGCTTCAAGGGTGACTTCTGAAGATACAACAGTTGGTTGGGATCAGATCTGAGTTTAGCACAGAAAGGAATTTGTTATCATAAGATCAATAAGCACATTTCCCATCACTCTCTAGTCCAAACCTGTGTGACACTGGAGGGTTTTATTTGGAGTTACCATGGCAAACTGTTCAGTACTGACCACATTTATTGGATTTAATTTCCTCTAATGTGTCAAAAGCTTCTGATAACAACAGAAATGTTAGCTTTAGCTATTATATCGGCATTACTTCCCTACTCTGGGCTGCTCTAAAATAGTTTGCCTATCAAGATAATGAGAACGGAAATATGGCGACTCAGTTTCAGTGACACCATTAACGCAAACTTTAAAAGGTTGTTCTCATTCTCACGTCATTTAAACACGTGACCATTTTAATCCTTTTAAAGCACCGCTGTCAAAACCCCGCAACTATTTCAAGCACGGACCAAAACTATGCAAACATATAGGTTGGAAACTTTCTATGATGCTGTGCTCCACTGAGATAAAACAATGCTCCTTCAAGTTGACTTCTGTTTCAGGGAAGAGGGTGAAGTCCCAGCGAGCCAAATCTGGCAAGTAGAGCAAAAACGTGTGTGTTGGTCTGGCCTCAAACCTCCAGTCAGTGCACCATGAGTGGACACACAATGTCAAATTTTCTTCCTCCATCTGGAGAAGTT